CCCTCTCCAGCTTCTTATCAAACATGAAATGCCAAGCAATTAAAACAAGGCCAAGCCAGAGACAATTCTGAACAGCCCTTCTAACTCCATAGACAAAATACAAAACCCTCTTGCGCAAAAGGAAATTCCTCTCTACAAAATACACAATAATCCTTATCCCCCAACCAGAAACCAATCTCCCACAAATCAAAACCAAAATCAAGACTTCCCATTTCCACAGCTTCAATTTCCACAAACTCTTTTCCCTCAAAACGGGTATGGTAAGCGTGCAAATCAGTGCCCCAACAATCAAAACCAAGCTTACCCATTGAAGCAGAGTCAATGCGTTAAAGTTAGCTCTCTTATACTCATGAGGCACATCCTCCTCCAGAAACGGGTCATCATCGTCATCGTCTCCGCCCCGCCCCAACATCCCGGACTTCATCGGACCCGATTTCGGTATATGACCAGATTTCGGAATCTGACCAGATTTTGGAATCTGCCCCGACCTTGGGATCTTACCCGACCTAAAGTCCGGTTCCTCTGGTGGGTCCATTAATCTCGACCTGGTCTTTATCCTCAACAAATCGGACCTGTTCTTGTTAGCAAACGAAGGCTCTCGCCGGAACGACGCGTTCGACGTGCACCGAACGACGTCGTCCTGTCCGTCACTCAGCCTCCCGCTACGACGCCGTTCGTCGTCGGGCGAGTCCCTGTACCGCCTCCGAACCGACTCGTTCGGAGTTTCGATGGAGTCCGGCCCCGGCGCCGGCGCCTGGAACGAGACTTTGAGCTCCTTCGAGACTCGCGAGTTCCTCGGCGACTCGGCGACAGGTGGCAGGTCCCGCTCGTTCTGTCGTAGCTCCTCCATCTCCAAATCCATGTCCAAAGACATGTCGCCGGAGGCTCTCTGCTTGTGCAGAAACTGACCAATCAGCTTCGACGGCGGATCCTCGGCCGTCTTCCGGCGCTGGGCGAAATCAAATCCCTGGCCATTTTTGCCGCCGTCTTCGTTCCAGAAATCGACGCTGGACTCCCGCCAAATCTTCCCGCCATTCTTGGCGGGGTCCGCCGCCATTGCGTCCCTGGTAGTAGCGCTGGAGGACGACTCGCCGTCGTCGATTTTGACGATGACCTCTCTCCGGTCAGACGAATCGACGGGGCTCATTGGCTGGCGGTGGCGGCTATCGTGATCTAGGAGAATGGGGAGCTGCTCGAGGCTGGGATCGTCTGCTCCGGCGGATATCTTCCTCATGTGCTTGGCTGAGCCATGGGATTTGAACGATTTCTTTATCGAAAAATCCATACACGACACTAGTGATAAGAATAAATAACAATTTCCTCCGATTAAAAAATATTAGCTATTAGTTTTTCTGTTAAATCTTTTTAAACAAATAAAAAACGAAAAGAAAAAAAGAAGAAACTGGAAATAATGTCAGGAAAGTGAGTGTTGTTTGGAATCTAGGAAAATAGTTGAATAATACAGAGGGGTTTGAATTTAGGGTTAGTTGGGAAATTAGGTTGACGCGTGTAATTTGGAAGGCATAATAAAACGAAGCTTCTCTTTTTAAATAAATAGTTGCAGAGCAGTGAGAGAGGAGAGAGGAGAGAGAGAGAGTGAAGCTGCAACAGAGAAACGTGTGGCGCCGACGACGGGTATGGCGTATTGGTAATAAGGAGGAAGCAAAGATGGGTTGGGCCGTTTTGCATGGGTTAGGTTTTTCGAACGTGCATTATTTAATTTTGCCAGATAGAAGAGCCCTGGAGCTTGTGTTTAATTACATTTTTGTGCCATTACTTGAAAAGTACCAGAGGAAATTCACGAGACTGATAAACAGAAAACTAACATCAAATTACCCCATAAAGGCATGAATATAGCTCACGTAAGGGCTTGTTTGGAACGGTCTTTTAGAAGAAGAAAAAAATAGTGTATTTCAGTAATAAAGTGCTTTATTGAGCTAGTGGTGCTTTTTCAGATTTTACTTTCAAGTGTCTTTTAGGAAAGCATTTGGTCTTTAATAATAATTTCGACATTTTTTCAATGTAAACGCTTCTTTTATAATTAAAAAAAACACTTATGAACAAAGTTACTTCATCTAGAAACAGTCCCAAATAGCTCTAAGAAATAGGTGGGGTGCACTGAGGGTAATCTTAGGTTTGAATTTCCCTTGTAACAAATAAACCACCAAATAACATAATTGGAAAAATTAAATTATGACTAGATTGTAAATGGTAAGAAGTTTAAATACAATTGCTTTGACCATAAGAAAGGGAATGAGTAAAATTGCAGTTGGAATTAAAAGTTTGGCTTCACATAAACAATTACCAAAATATTAAGTGAGGAGTTTTTTTCAGATTCCTAATGTGCTCAACTTACCTTTTTTCTTTGCCCAATAATATATTGATTCCAGGGATATATAGGTGATACCACGATCAATAGAAAAATTACAACCTTCTAGACATGCTAAGCATTTCACCAACGGTACAAAATTAGTCTATGTTTGTGTAACTTTACTTGCTAGAAAATGGCCCAAATAATTTATAGCAATTAAAAAACTAATTTTTGGACATCGAGTGAAATAACATAGTATTTTAATTTATTTTTTCTGGACTCACTGTAGCATTTATTCATTTATGAAGAAGAAAAAAAACATTATCACATCATTTGTATAATAATTTTGTGTTTCTAACATTTTCCATTTGGACATGTAATTTCGACTTTGGTGGATTTGGACATGAACAATGAAGGAGGGGTATAGTGGGAAATGTGCAGCGCAGTGCCTCGAGATTCGCGCGCTAAATTCGGGTGAGGTCTGTAACGCTCGCTTCTCTTGTTTTAACTACGTGGCGCAACTCCATTCGGAATTCCGGAAAAGCCCGCGAAACTTTTTCAAACGACACAGCGTTAACACAGTCGCATCCGCAACAGCACACCACGCCTCTCCAATATCATGACGTGGCAAGCATCCGACGGTCTGTCCCATCCCAATAAAAATGCACCATGTGACAGTACAATAATACGACAACAATCACGGCGCTATAATATAATACGCGCTACGTGCCGAAGAGTCCATGAATCTAGTACGGCCCTGTTCGATTAATATATTTATTTATTAAATTCCGCCGTTGGACTTGGATGAACGACAATGGGCCGGAATTAGTGGAGAGACAAAACGCCAAAACGGAATGTCGTTTGGGGCATTACGAAATTTCGGGTTTGTGACATGATGATAGGTATGGACGTATGGTTGTCGTGGACTGATTGGACTCTACATGTCTGGTCTGGTGTGTCCATTGGTTCGAAGTCAAACCAACCAAAAGGGAAAGTGATTTCAACTTGTAGTTGTTTAGGGTCACCATCTTAGTGGGAGGATCCATCTATCTACAGCTTTCTGCTTTATGTGTCATACTGGGGATTAGGTGTCACCTAGGTTAGTTCTAACCTATCACCAAATTAGACTTAAGGCTGGTTCGGAGTTGTTTGTATAAAAAGCATTTATGTTTATAAGTGTTTTTTTAATTAATACGTCAAGAAATGTTAGAAGTGTTTACGGTTGTTATAGAGCGTTTTAAATCGTTCTGCAAACTATCCAAAACATGTAACTTTGCAGAAAAAATAAATTTTAATTTTTTGCACATTAAGTACAATTCAATTAAAAGATGACATGCGTTTATATCATATGATTTGTTTTATTTTTTAAACAAGTGTCCTCTTTTAATTGAATTGTACCACCGCTCAACATTATCATGCATCATGGAATCTATGTAGGCATTATAATATTTTTAGTATTTTTCTCCTTCTGACTATATTGTTATGAACCCATATGTTAATCATGACGGCGTATGGAACAAAACACACCAAAACCCCACCCAAGATTTCCACTCTACTAATCATGTCTTATGCAAGGTGTGAGTACATTAGTTGTGATGTGAAAGATCAAGGACAAATAATTGGTTGTATATAGTTGTCAGGTAGGGAATTTTGAACTTAATACCAAATCAATTCAAATCCTCTATGCAGAAGACAGGTGGTGTTCAGATGGAAAAAGGAACCTAAGCTTTTTCTTTTTTTGGTTCAACACGCAGTATATTCCCAAATCTCAACAAAATTTCGATCTGGATGTATGATGTATAACATAAAGATTTATTATTTTTTTAGGGGACATAAAGAATTTTGGGTTAATGACTTAAATGGTCCCTCAACTATCGCTATATTTTCATTTTGGTCTATCAACTAAAATTTTCAATTCAAACGTCCTTAAACTTTTTATATTGTACCAAAATCGTCCTTCCGTCAAAGTCTGAATTATTCCGTTAAATCGAGGGACAAAACCGTATTTTTAGATGAGTATCCTCTTCTAATTAATAATTAATAATTAAAAGTTAAAAAATTTTAAAACCAATAAAACACCATCGTCCAATACTGTGCTTGCTAACATGGCAAGATCATCACTTGACCCGACAACCCAAGCCCAGGACCCAAGCCGTCCAGCACCACCATCGTCGCCAAACACACATACAAAATTTTCAATTTGCATCTGACTACTGTAACTTTCTATGGTCAAATCCGTATCATCTTAATCATATAAAACATTTAGCTGTTTTGTTTGGCAATATGAAATTAGTAGTTGTATATTCTGCAATCTACCAAGCATGAACATACGTATGGTCCACACCAACTTAAGCTGAACTCCAGCTCCAACATATATACACATAATTTCAACAATTAGTCAATTACATCAGCAATCATGTCATCACTTTCCGAGAAACCAAACAGAGACCAGATAAACTCATGAGCAATCAATATCATCATCAAATCAAACAAGATGACCCAAAACTAGAAATACCAAATAACCCAAATCAAAATTTGACCAAACAAATCAAGAAACAAAACCCAGCAGCCAATTCCTCAAAATCAAAAAGAACGTAACAAAAAAAAATGAAAGCTTTAAGCTTGAGATTAGATCAAAGTCTGTACCTAAGCGTATGTTCTTTCTGGTTCATAAACTACAAGACAACAATCAACGGTATAGAATTTGTGATATTCCTTTTTCTCCGCGCACGACGAATGCGTCGTCGTCTCTGCGGAGTCTAGACCCCTTCTCTCCTCCTCCTCCTAGATCGTGAACAATGAACGACCCCGAATCCCATGTCTAATAAACAACCCTAAAAAAGCTACACGATGAGAAACAGAGAAATCCCAAAAACAAAGGCACAGATGCAGCAATTGATAATTGAAGAAAAAGAAAGAGTAGAATGGAGAAAAAGCGGTCACTCCCACGAATCCCCTGCGCCTAAAAGGTCTAAAAGGGCGTCATATCATATTCATACACGGACTGCAAAAATTTTGGATTTTGGATGCAACAAAAGTCTAGCTGGGTTCTAGAAGTCCCTTTTAATCCAACTTGAAATGGGTAAAAAGGCAAACATGTTTAATCAGTCAAAAATTCATATCTCCAATCCATACATATAAATATATATACATGACAATATCTCACCCAACCCACCGCCTCAAATCATTGCGAAACAAAACCCTTTTGTTTCTAAAAAGAGAGGAGAGTGATTAGAGAAAAAAAACATGTGTCTCAAACACTACAGAGGAGGAAGAAGAGCTGAGACTGAGACTTCCGCCGGCGCCAGAGGAGGCGGGTTTTCGTGGTGCCTGATCCGGGTCTGAGACTGAGACTTTCACCGGCGCCAAAGGAGGAAGAAGAGCTGGGCTGCTAGGGCTGCGAGGAAGAAGACCACCATTCATGTGTCTCAAAAAGTCGCATATACCCTTCAAAACTCAGTCACGTTTGAATTGAAAATTTTAGTTGATGGACCAAAATGATAATATAGCGATAGTTGAGGGACCATTTAGGTCATTAACCCAAGAATTTTTATACCCAAGTCTAGAACTTTCATTTTCTTTTCTTTGGCCATCTAGAACTTTCAGTTTAACAAAGGCCCTTTTTATCTTATTTCTCGGATGGAGGATCCTGAAAAGGTATCTAGTCTCCCACTGCCAAATGTTCCTAAGCTCCATCATATTCTGTAGTGGTCTGGAATTATCTTTATCTCCTTAAATTCTCCAAACAATAAAAACAAAAGCGCATACGCGTTACAAGCCCAATTGTCAAGTAAGATGGCCCAATTCTAGGCCCCATCTTGGCACTCTGTAAATCAGGCTGACTTGGGCTTTCCAGCCCATTAAATATTTAACCCGGCAATGTGATCGAAATTTCGAGTCCCGCTCCTTCCCGAATGCTTAAAAACAAAGAAAAAAAAGAGACTCACGACACAATGATGCCAAACTAGCCCGAGTTTCTATAAACCACTAATCGCAATCCTGACCATGAAAAAAACAGTTGAGATATAGAAAACACCATACGATTGAACAGTAAGAAATACAAAAGTAAATGCCAGCTAATTGCAAAGCCAAGGAATTGGTCAAAGAAAATTTCACGACAATATGTTGTCATTGTAAAGCTTCTGGATATTTGCAAAGTTACAAAGCTAATCCGAACCATCGTCCTTGTTAACTGTTGAGTGCTACGATAAACCACAAAAATAATATAAAGGGAATGGTTGGTCCAAAAAATGCGCTCTAACAAATCAGACGGAGGAAATAAGTTGATCAAAGAGAACGTAATACTGTACACGGTATGTGAGAGAAATGGTTGGGGGAATGCCACGCGAGGTAAATCCCTTTGCTCATGTTATAAACATCTATGTGCCTTCGATTAGTGATGACCGCGCCTAAGGACGGACAGGAATCCTCCTGATGATTTGCGTTTTTCTTCTCCTTCATCGCCGATCTGTTTAAAAAAAATGGTTTGGTGTTACCTTTGCTCATTCTATTGGGACATGTTTTCCAAATGACTACACAAGATATCAATGTCATGTGACAGCACCCAGAAGTTATACCTCTCTGGCTAACGGCTGCAGCATTTCTATTATTTCCGAGAAGTCAGGTCTTAATGCAGGGTCTTGTTGCCAGCATTTCTCAAGCAGCTCAGCAAGCTTTGGATGCGTATTCTTTGGGATAGTCGGCCGTAAGCCCTGGAAAACCGTGTCATTGAACCAAGTCACTAATAATACATTGTTTGCAACAACGTAGATGCATCACTCAAAGCAGATTATGCCTTTGGTTGGAATGGAGAATACTGTACCTTTTGAACAACTCCAACAGCTGCTTGTAATGGGGTCAAGTATTCATACGGAAGCTGCCAATTGAAACAGACGACAATCTAAACCGAGAGAAAAAAACATAAGAAACAACCATTATAAAATAATTCTATCAACAAAGCAATACCTTTCCCGTCAGTAACTCCCATAACACAACCCCAAAGCTAAAAACATCAGCCTTGTGATCATATGGCTTGTGTTCTATAACCTTCAATGCAAAACAACTGTTGTAAGGAAATGAAAAGATAAGAAACCAATTAGAATTTTTTTAATAGGAAAACACAGACAGATTCATGGCAGGAAATTCGTCAACGAATAACTTTTTTTCTCAGGCGTCACTTTGAATCACACTTCTTAAACAGAAAACAAGCATAAAATAATGTTGTGTCATGGTAAAACGTCATACACAGGAGCTGTGACCATGAGAAACCGTCCAACATCTGAGACAACCCAGATTAGTCAACTCTCTCTCTCTCTCTCTCTCTCTCTCTCTCCAAACATGATTCGACCTTATCAACACCATAGCATATATATACATATAATAAGTACAAATAAGACAAAACTAAATAGTGGCATGCATGAAAACAATTTCAGTCAACTTTAAGGCTGAAAGTATGCACCTCTGGAGCCATCCACCGATAAGTCCCAGTTTCTGCTGTCATTACTCCAGATTGAGATTTTACTCTGGCAACCCCAAAATCAGCAACCTTAACAACCTGTAAGATGAAGCATATACAGGGAGGGTTTAAAACGAAAATTTATTTATCTCTAGCAGTACCAGCACCTAAATCACACAGAATTGTTTTATTCACATTACTAAAATATGAAGGTGTCTCTTACTTCATTTTCATCCATCAAGAGATTGGCACCTTTTAAATCCCTGTGGATTATGTTATTCTGGTGCAAGTAGGTCATTCCCTTGGAAACATCAATTGCTACCTTGAGCAAGGCTGGGAGCTTAAAAACACCCTTTTGTTTATGCAAGTAGTCATATACACTTCCACCAGACATAAACTCTGTAATAAGACAAAAATAAATCATAAAAATGGAAACCAGGGAATAAGTATTTGATATAACAAAGCATCAACTATGATTTTTATTTCAATTACCAAAATAAAATCATTGGAATTACCTGTCACAATGCACAAGCTTGGAGGCTTGGTACATGCACCAATGAATTGTACAACATTCTTATGTCGAACTTTCCTGCAAGTGTAAAAAATAACTTTGTTAAATGAAAAGAATTATAGTAGATTCTAAACCCTCCCAATTTTTCTATTACAAGAAACTAAAACTGTGAAGTGAATGACAAATTGAAGATCGCTATGTTACATAACAATCACTAACATCTAAGAAAATAATGGACAAAAATTACTGCTCTTGAAAATTTACACTGACACCACTTCCAGCCTAATATCTTGTGAACAAGTCAAACCTGAGCCCTAGATACTGCTCATGTGGCAATTGACTTTGGGCAATATTCCCAGGTCAGTTAAAATTAAAATAATGTGCATGTAGGTCAATATTAATTTATATACCTCATAATATAGACTTCCTGGGCAAAATCTTTATGCATATCTGAATTTACACACTCAGGCTTGAGGACTTTAATGGCCACTTCTTGAGTACAGTATGTACCTTTATATCTGATAAAAAATCCAAAAAGTAAGTCAATTGCCACTCAAAACTGCATGCTTAGCTGGGTGACAAAAAAGAGAGAAGGGAAAACAGATCCAAGCAGTAAATAAGCATCATATACTTCGAACTTACAAATCACCACAGGATCCAGATGCAACTTTGTTACCAAACGTCAACTGTCTAGGATCAATCTCCCATACATCAGTCCCATCATTGGGTATTGTGAGATGAGTAGGTTCAGATTTGACCCTTATTTGATCATGCTCGCTACTCGAAGATGATGATCGATGAGTTGGTGGCCACGGACTCTGCATAGAAACCCAAAGTTTCAATTATAGTAATGCATTTCTGATCGCATTGCATTTTGATTATCAAATGGGGAAAAAGAGGGAAGCACGATATAGTTCAGTTCAGTTAATGAAAAACTGAAAGAACATTATACCAGTTGGACAGTACTCGCTCCCTATTAGATAATTTTACAAAAATTGAAAAAAAAAGAAAAGAATAAGTAACAAAGAATCACCTCAATCTTCAAAACTTCCTTTTCCAATGCAGTCTTAAGCTGTTCTGTTTCCTGTTTCAACACCAAGTCAGCCGCTCAGTTGCTTGTTGTAAATAAGATAAAATGCTTTTTGCAGAAAATTTGAAAAGCCAAAGTTGTAATACTTCCTCAATAAAACACTCAATTGAACCAAAATCATGTTTACCATCTTAAGCAAACATATGCTTCACAAAATTCAAGCAAACAGAAAAATGCCAATGTGAAAAATATAATAAAATCTAAGAGAGTGTGGCTTTATTTTCAATCCAATGCTTTACAAAATTGTTGGAACTTTGGCAGTCATTTTAATTGAATAGTTAAACATATATACGTAAGTATCTACCTCATAAGGCCAGCCATCAACAACAAAGACATCCAAGGAGTAACCATCTAATGTGGAAAAAGCATGTGCTTCTTGGATGTTCAGCCCAATCTCCGCAAGCAACGAAGTCAACTGCCAAAATTATTATGAGAGCAATGACCATGAAGAATATGAGATTCTTTGATGTATGAGATAAAAAGTTCAAAGTTGAACTATGTGTTTCATGTGTATGAAGACAATATCAGGGTCAAACTAGGCGAGTAATTTATGTCTATAGATCAGTAATTCGCAAAGTCTCCAAACTCAAAATGTGTTTATTGCCAAAAGCTTAGTTCAGACACACAGATACAAAAAATCTTATGAAGATTACTTGGTTTTAATTTCAAAGAAAGACCCATCAAATACCTGACTGAGTAGTTTTGGCTTGTCGTCTGTTGAGAAAGTGATTTCATGCATGGGCCTACATCATTGTAAATCAAAATTAAGGCAAATCACAACTTATTTGCACGGAGCCACTTCGCTTCGCTAGTGACACTAGAAATCATTGGCATAAAAATACAGTTTATTTACTAATGTTCAGGTTCAGTTAACATTTCAATGGGGAAAAATGAAAATCAAAGCCTTAAGCATAGATAAGTAAACTTAATCTAGCTAGCATTTGGATGAGTGGTGACATGCAGTATATCAAGCATGTCAGAAACTTCATTTGTGGAACCAAATATTAAGAAAGTATATGGCTAACATCAACAAAATGGCCAATATGCAACCAATTTAAAGGATACATAATTCAAATAATTATCACACTTAATGAAGATGCATTTCAAGAGCCTATGATACACTCTAAGTAAAAACTATGAGAGAGATATTTTTTTCAAAATCTAAGAGCCAAACTGAAACTCTTTCCAAAAAAGAGATGCAGTGAAAATATATTCCCTGGAGACTGAAATGGCTATTTACCGATTCAACTCTGTGCTGCCATGCACAGAATGTTCATCATCCTCATCATTAGCTGTATTTGCTTCAAGTGCAAGGGCTTCGAGGTTAGGAGATGAGCCAAACGCTGGAGGAGGATGTATACTGACATTTGAAAAGCCAACTAGAGTTGTCAGTAATGTTTAACCACAACCAGGCAGTGGGATGAACAGAAAAAAGAAGGTAAAAAACTTTATTCGCAGACTATTTGTGTGAAATATTTGGGAACTGCATTTGTAAATTTGGATAAATTTTAGGAAACCAAATAAGAGTACCTTTGTCTGCTAGATAACTTTGAACTTTGGGCAGCATCTTCACCCACAGAATCTGAATGGATAGAATCAGCTGTATTCCCATCTGGGATGGGATGAACCTACACAAAATTGTGATTCCCAGAATGCATGAGGATATGTATCAAAGTTTAAGAATGGTAAATGGGAAATAAATTTCTATACAATTAATTTACCTAAAGAACTAAAGGGAAAAGGAAGAAATTATGAAGGAAAATTCCAGCAGAACATGTGATTTAAGACTTTGTTTCAGTGGTGATTTTTCAATGACTCATTGATAATTTGTAATCTTACAAATCTAGACTTTTAGGAGTGGCAAATTTTCCAAACGACATGTAAAGAAAGGATGTAGTTCATATATAAATAACCTGTGTTCAAATGGGAGCTAATAGCATGGCTAATCTGACCAGTCTTGACTCTTGGAACATGAACAGACTAAAAGGAGTGTGATGCAGATTGCATTGAAGGTAACAAGTAATACCATCCTCCAGTCTCGACTTGAGGATTTTTTTTTTGGAAACGAATCTTACTCAAGGGCAAACATTATTAAGGTCATGGAACACATTATACCGCGGCTAGGACTCCTTAACACAATACTGACAACTTTGAATGTGACATAATAAACTTTTTGATTTAATACGTTAGGCCTGATCCAAATCCAATTTCTAAACTTAATCAAGAAAAGATACACTAAATCTGTGATGACAATAACGATGCACCAGCCACAGAAAATGACAAGAAATAACAGGCTAGCACTGAAGGATTAAGAAAATCTTCAATTTTGGAAACAACGGTTAGCAAGTCAGATGTGTAGTAGTCAATGATCTAACCTGTACAAGCCGGACTTCAATCGCTGGTTTATAAGCAGGATCATGAGCCAAATGTAGTAATCTTTTGTGCATAAGCACATCTTCTGCCCTCTCCACATTCACATCCAATGCGTACCTGAAATTGCGCAAGTAGAAGCCAGTGCCTCAACTCATCAAAACTCGTTTCCAATTCTACAAAAATAAGCGAGTACTGAAACGATTAACATTTTAAAGCCTGCTTGTCTGCTTGTGAGAAATAATGAAATAGAGCCACAAAAACTGATCCAGTTCTATTAAACCTCTAATATTTCAAATAAAAGTAGAATAATGTGTTTGGGAATTGCTAAATCTGCTTCATTCTATTCTGTTTGGCTCGACAGAAACTTAGGTCATAACGTGAATCACAAGATCACTACCAAACCAAGACATACAAGAACAAACAGAAATTGAAGGAAAAAAGAATTTACATATCCTAGATTCAGAAGCTAATCTTCAATTAACAGATTCAAAATCAACAAAAACCTTATGAAAAAATAATAATTAAAATACTAGCAATAGTAACACACACACATATACATATACACATAGATATACATGCACATAATATTACCCAAATAAATAAATAAAATGGAATAATATGCAAATATGAGGATTAAAAGAGCGAAAGGTACCGAGTGGGGAGGCGATTGAAGTGGGCCCAAAGTTCATCGTCGAAGCCAGGTCGAATAGCTTCGTCGTTGTTGGAGTTCTTGAGGCGACGAAGAACCTCATTGTAGACCTCAAGCTTCTGCCTCTGCTGCCGAGACTGAGCCGGAGACGACGTGTCGTACGCTTTACTGCCACAGCTCTCGCTGTTGTCCTCCGTCACCATTTGCCGCAAACACGACGGAATTTGAAGTGCCGGAGAAGCAAGGGAAAAAAATGGCGAGGAAGAGAGAAAGCGGAGGAGGAGGAGATCGTCGGTAGGTTGCTTTTACGTGAAACGACGAGCAGCGTTTATATGGTGAACGCGGATTTGAGAGTGAGGGTTGAATAATAAAATCACAGCAAACATTTTATAAAAAATTAAAAAAAATTAAAAAATCTTTTTATATGATGACAAGTGAGAGAAGAGACTCAATCTCTTTTAACGGCGTAGTGCGCACCATTGGCGTTGTGAAACATGCCGAGGTGGATCCTCTACATTTCTACCCAAGCTGATCCGCTTTGCAAATTATGCCTTTTATTTTATTTTATTTTTTGGAGGTAACAAATTACTTGATTAACATGAGAAAAAAAAATCCAATGTGATGGCGCTCCATCAATTATAGTGATCCTTCACCCTTTTCCTTTTCATAACATATTTTATTAACGGATATGGATTTGGCCAATAATTTAGATTATCATTTATATTTTTAAAAATATATTTTTTATTAAATTATTAGTTTTTTTTTCTCACATAAGCGATATTAGAGATTGAAGATTCGGACACAAGTTCTCGGGTGGAGGATAACTACTATTAGCCTGCCACCCCCTTGCTGCCTTCTTGATTTATAGTGTTGATTAATTTTTAGGATATGTTTAAATTTAATTAATTAATTAATTAATTTCTATGAAACCCTATCGACAAAGCCACGTTCCCCCTGGCCAATGAGACGTCTCTGAATTCCATCCCTCTCCTCTCCACTCACCTCTCTCACAATTACCAAAAGCAGACACAGAGTAGCATATTCTGGGGTGCCCACTGATTTGGGTAACCTCGTAGCACAAAGACCATTATGCCCCTCCCTCGTTAATTTAGTTTTATATATTGGCCTCTTGTGTATGATCAATGGACCCCATAAAGAGACAAGGCCAAATTTTGACTCCTAATTGTTTGGAGCAGCACTGGACCACTAGCCATGCACCGAGGGTACAAGTGTAATTTTATTGTCGAGGGGTATCTTGATGATCAAGAAAAAAAAAGACTCTGATGATTCTGCTGCTGAAAAAGCGGTTGGGTTTAACATGAATGAATTCATAAGAAAAACGTGAGGGGCAGATAGGTATGTGTCTTGTCTTTTTGTTGCATTGGAAGAAGAAAATTTATAACTGAGAATCTAACTCACCATCATCAATGGTTGCTTTTGGTATAATTCTGCCATTTGGCTTCACAAAGGCCTCTGGATCATTATATATAGGACCACCATTTTCTTCTGTCTATTATCTTCAGCAAATTATTTATGAGATTTATTATTTAAACCTCACATTTCTCTTAGTTCACCCCATATTCTAAGTTCATCACAACTTTTAATTTAAAATTTCACAATTTCTAAGAAAACCCCACTATCTTCCCAAATTATCCTTAAATACACCCCAAGCTGAAAAAAATAAGAAATAAAAGAAATACATTGCGGTTGCTACACCTTACACTAGGAGTGGGCCATCTAATCGACCATTAATGGAGAATACATTGAAGCTTTTATCATAGTGGAAAAACAACAAGAAAAATAACCCAACTATTGAAGCAGCAACAACAAGATTATGATTTTAGATGCATACTGGAATTCTAGAAGTGACAATAATATTACTGTTCCCAACATAAAAAATACACAAACAAATGAAATCCCAAATCCGAAATTTAATACTTTCTAGAGAAAGAGAACAACTTTACCAAAACATTAAGTATAAAAAAACAACAACAAACAAAAGCAATCAACAAAGGGAAGATAATAAGATCATTACAGCCAAACAATCAACAAGTATTTCCATTAGCTCCCATGCATATTTTAAAGAGGCATGCTCGTCAATGTTCTACGTCTCTTGCAATACGATATAGAGGAGTTTGTATTTTTCTAAAACTTAATATGAAGAGTGGTGGAGTGTGTGTATAGATGTACTAGGGTTAAGTATTAAGTTGGATGACATTTTTTTTATCTTTTTACACAATAATAAAACTTACAATTTAATGATTTTAGTATTAGGGTGAACTAAAAGAAGTGTGAGGTTTAAATAGAAAATCTCTTATTTATTTACCCTAAATTATGTTTCCTTAACCACAACTCATCCGTTAATTCTTCAACATTCGGTTCAGACCTCCAGTTAATCACCCAAGTTTGAGTCCATAAATAGTGAAAATTGTTCTATGAAGACTCGCTTCCACCACGACTCTGTGTTGCATACAACAACTAAGATTTCCCCTTTCTCAGTGCATTACATAATATTTTTCACAGGTAATCATCCGTTTTTCCTTATGAACTATATCGATAATGTTAATTTCCCTCATAAATTATACAAACTAGTCAATCTACCCTACTAGCATATCCCTAATACTTCCATCGAATATGCTATCAAATAAAGTCATGTATGATGACTCGTCACTTATTCAGGTGAAATAAAATATTTATGTAGTACCAATGAACTAGCACGAGCCTAGGGTACTATTGTCTAGAAAGAAGAGGGAAGCACCATTGTATAGTACAAGTCGTGGTTGAAGAGTTAAACCCTAGTTGTTTTTTTATAGTCTCCAAGTTGATAGCCCATAATCCCATAAGCTAAACATGCAAACTGTGGATTAGGGTTGAAATAAAATATTAATTCAACCAAATGACCAGAAAACATGATGTAATTAAGCTAGCTGGACATGATGACATGGCCAGCCATGTTGAAAATTTCAAGAGTCAATTTGTAAGTAACAACTGCATGAAAATACATTTGATTTAAATGAATAAACAAACAATACGTTCCTAGATCAAGAAGATACTCAAAAATTAAAAAATATTATCCTCCCTAATTAAGATTAGACTGGAATTAAACAATCACGTGGGATGAGGAAACCCGGCATCGTACCACCACGTGGAGCACGGGGAGGGCACGAGGAAGCTGTTGACCTACAGGAGCGAGTAGAGGATCCGCATCCCCACAAAGGGAATAAACCGCCGGGTTGGGGTTTGGTGGATCCAGCAGCGTGGGAGCTGATCTTCTATGAGCCACGTGGAGGCACGGGGAGACACGTGGAGGGATGTGATTGGGGGAGGGGGAAAAGCGACCTTTGGATGCGGTGAAGGGGCAACGAGTAAAAAAGAGGATGAGGATTGAGGGTACCGGTGCCAGCGAAGCGGCGAGCGGTCGGCGATGGAATAGAAGGTGGGAACCAGCAAAGTGCGAGTCTTCCGAGTCCAAAGTCCAACACTCCAAACCATGTTTATAGGTAATATTAATAAAATATTACTTATTAAATCTTATCCAAGCCCAGCTTTGTTTTTGCCTGTTTGGTGTTTGTCTAATGTCTACTATATACATGACTGTAAATGGATATTTTCATTGATCTTGGGGGTTGATGAAGAAGGGCAAAATGTGCAATTGGAAATTTTAAAAATTTCCAATTTTGATAACGTCAGTTGTTGATGAGCACTTACATCAACGGTCAAGAATCACATAGTACAGTGGAGAATTTATTCACAATATATCAACGGTTGAATTGGTATTCGTTCAACTTCACGCAAATGAATGACTAATCATAGCATCCCTCAAAATCTATTTTACTGCTTGTCCATAAAGAAAGGCATAACCCTAAAATAAACTCATCATTGAGGACTTTCATTGGGAGTTGATGAGAATTAGGGCAAATTTGTTAGTGGAAATTAAATTTGTTAGACTTTTGATAACATCAGTTGTTCAAGAGTGAAACTACTACCCCAATTGAATTTGAATTTAGGGGCCATGTACATCAATGATCAAGAATGACATAGCCGACTGGATAATTTATGCTTACTACATCAACGGTTGAATTAGATTTTCCTTAACTTCACTTACACGAATGAATGACTGATCATAGCATACCTCAAAAGATATTTTATTGCTGGTCCAGAGAGAATCGCATAATACTAAAATGAACTCATAATTGAGTTAGGGTTGGTTGGTGTGGGTCCAAGATGTCCTTGAAGGAGCTGTCCAACTTTCACTCATGGAGGTGTGGATAAGATTATACAGGACCATTGCACCTCAATGACAAATTGTTATGGTCCACTTTCGAAATCAGTCACATGCATTATGAATACGTGTTGTTAGAATTTGCAACCTAGATATTATCCTTCCTCTTAATAAAAAGAGGCCCTCAAAAAATAAAAATGTTTGTTAGACTTTGATAGTCAATCTCAATACAAACAAATTCAGTGATGAGTAACGAAGTTGCTATTGACGAGTGGATCAATTTAGCAGTTAGAAAAGTGTCTGTATTGAACACGAATTCATATCAAGGATTATAGTAAGTGTCGGTATCAATAGTTGATTGAAAGCTTGTGCTTCAAGAAGTTTATATGAACAAAATAATAGATTAAAAGTGAAACAAAAGTCCAAATCCGATAAGGCGTGATCATCACTCCCAACTTGTATTTCCCAATTGATGAATGGTTCTATTTTGATAATTCGTGAATATAACGTGTTAAATTATATGGCAAATTCGTATTTCATATATATAGACACATCTGATGTTGTTTAATAATTATTATTTGAATTGCATAAGAGATATATATATATATATATATATCAATTTTTTTTTCCTGCACAAGATTAGGGTTTAGGGTGGAAGACAATTGAAAACAAAAGAAGCAAAACAAAACAAAACAAAAATTCAAAGAACATTATATTAATTCTGTGATTAATTACGTTCTTAATGACTAGTTGCAAAATTAGAGGAGTTGGCACATTCAATGAACCTAGACAAATGTATCACTGTTCATTGAATGAGGACATTTTTCCTCTTTGAAGCCAACCCTTCCTTCACCCTTTTCTTTTTCTTATTGTTGCAAGATTTGGTGCATTCCAAGGATGATAATATCGGGCCTCTAATTTACGGATATTTCGAGGGATATATCGTTATCGTTTTGGGTATCGGGAAAATATCAACAAAAATGACAGATATTGGCATTGAAACACATAATTTTGGTGTAAAACTTTCATAGATGTTATGTACATTGTCAATGAATGTATTGAACAAATAAAACTCAAAATTTACTAGTAATAAGATATATATATATATATGATGAAATATAAGTGGTATGTAATACGTGTTAATGAAAAGTTTGAAAATAAAAAGTTGATTAGAATGAATAAACCATGCATAAATCCATAGTTTATTTGAACATTGGATTACAATTTAGATGAGTGTCCAACTACATAAATGAAGAGCTCCTATGAGGTTCAAACAATGTGGAACAACCATCTAGATTCATACAATAATCATACCAAGTCATGTAACCCGAGTAGTTTGTAAGCCATGTTTGAACGTGGTGCACATATGTCTCTCTTGAGCTCCATACTGTCCTCCCATATATGGGATAGTTAGGATTAACCCAACTAGTAGGTCCATAATCTGTTTCATCATCTTGAGCTCCATATCTAGTTCAACTATAATCAGGCATGACATAACCATAGCCATCATAAGATTCATTTGAGTTAGTACTAGGTCTAGATTCTTTTGATGCATACTCTAAAACATGTATACTCCAAAACATCTTTTGAATTGAATATTGCCAAAAGCCTTCACACATATATCTAATCACTGCACATATACCTCCAAAAAATCTTTTCAATTTCAATTTGCTTCAAAACTTTTGAATTTTTTTGGGTTTTGTTATGGGTATCGGGAAATATCGGGAATATCGGCAAAATATCGGGGATATCGCACTTATCGGTGATATATCGTCGATATCGGGGAAGATATGGCCTTACCCCCCAATATCGGTGTCGACAGTTCAAAATATCGATATATCGGTGTATCGGCCGATATTTCAATCCTTGGTGCATTCCACATTAAAATTGCAAAAATTAATGCAACAAGTTACATTGGTGTTACCTAATTTCAAGAATTGATATATCAATAAAGGAAATTAACAAAGAACAAAAAATAAAAATAAAAACCATTCTTGTCACACTCCTTATCCAATCATGCATATATATGCCCGATTCAGTAGTATATGTTGGTATTAAAAGTTAAACAAAAGAAGAAAGAGAAAGAATAGAGTAGAAACGAGACAAGTATTGTCGGCTAAAAAACGTAAATGAGTGGAGTTGATAATTTTAGTGGTAGAACATTTTATGTTTATATTTGTGAAAAAGTTCGAACATAACCATTTTCTTCTTTAGGTAAAAAATGAAATGATCATGGAAAAAATTATGGGTCGAGAAAGAGAGAATTTTTCACTCGTTTAGAATGATGAGGCATGCATGTTCCAAAGACTCATTCCTGATTGATTTATTTACTTAGAAGTTGCCATTTTAAGGCACACATGACAAATATTTTATAATCCTTCAGCTAAGAAAAATGGGATCAGACCGCCATATATTTCAAAGTCTCTCTTTGGTATTTAAATTTTCCCCGGTAAGTTGTCTCATTTTAAATGTGTAAAATAAATGGGTCACTATACCAAAATAAAATATAAACATAGCACTCGGATATGACTTTCTTGTAGAAAAAAGAATTTTTTTTTTTGGGCTTAAGCCCAAGAAAATACAAGAGTCAGGAATAGTCGAAGCCATTGTGAGTCCATTTTATTTTTCATTTTTCATTTTATTTGAATTCTAGAATTTATAGATGTGATATAGCACTGAACTAATTGGAAGGAAAAATGTGGAGGGTGTATAAATGTACAAATTTAATTATTTCATTTGTTAAAAAAAATTAAAAGCAGCTCACTTCTAGAAAGAGAAAAATAAAACATTCACGAACTTTTATGGTATGCCTACTTACTTCAAATGAGAGAAGTCATAAAGCCGAAAGTCAATAATACGAGAGAGACTGGATTATGGAATACGAGCTTTTATGATATGCTTGCTTACTTCAAATAAGAGAAGTCATAAAGCCGAAAGTGAATAATATGGGAGATACATTGGATTATGGGATATAATGTGAAACTCACATACTTTTTGCTTCCGTATGTGTTGGAATAATTGAAATATCTAAGAAATCAGCATATTTCCATTACCTACCAATGTGCTTGCTGACTTATCCAAACTCAACAGATCAACCAGTCTTATTGTAAATCATTACACATAGATAAGGAAGTGGATTATGTCTCAAAAGCTAGACACCGTTACTTTCTGTGGGCTACCCACCACCAGAGGCATCAAACTTAGGTCTTGGATATACCTCTACGAAAAGAGTCCACCGACAAAACCTCTAAAGCATTGGCAATGAGTCGTATAAAAAGCAAGTGATAAATGGTGAAACAAATTTATTATACAATTAAGTGAAAATACAATATCCAATCTATCCAAAATAGTTACAATACAAAGATCAAGTGGTCCACAAGATCACAGATTTGGAGTAAAATCATACAACCCAACTTCCTAAGCTCTAATCAGTGGTCCATGATACATTTCAAGTTTCTTCATAACACAACAATATTCACAAGAAAATCACAAGCATATTGCATACAGGCACATAGCAGGAATTTAAACGGCGGATTACTCCATTGCTTCAGCATTCACCATTTCTTCGTCGGCATTCTCATCCTCACCGTCTAGAAGCCAACGTTCAAACTCGTCCATCTCATCATAGTCATGCATGTAAAAATCATCTGAGTTATCCCATTCCTCGACTCCCAGCTCCTCGCCACGTCGTGACACACGCAAGAACGGTCTGCTTCGAGCTAAAGCATCTACCATATCTCTATTTACACTGCCTGTAACTCCTAACCATCTCAGCCTTGGAAAATATGGTTTCTTCAGCCACCGGAATGAAAGCGGAGTAATGCCACCACAATTAAACAGATCCAACAACCGCAGGCTGTTACCATGCCACCTCTCCTCGTCAACCACCATTGAGGCTAATGCCATTACCGAAGTGTCACCTATTAGTGGGCATTGTCGCATTCGTAGTTCAAGTATTGGAACCCTACTTTTTGCCAGTAATAGAACTGCATTGTCGGAGAGATTAGGAAGATTGGACAGGTCCAGTTCTTGCAACTCCAAATTAGAAGAGCCATCAAATAGAGCAGATATGCATTTATCTGTAAGTTTCTTGCACCCTCTAACAGACAATGAAATTAGTGAACTTATAACCCCTGGTCTCAAATATGATAATCCTACATCGCTAATATCAGAGCCATCCAATAATAACGCCTTCAATTTAGGAAGAGTGCTTATGGCTTGGAGGGCTTCATCCCCAAGGTTTCTGCAATCTCTCAAATCAAGAACTTTTAGATCCTTATTAGAAGCCAAACTAGTAACTGCATGGTTGGTCAAAAGAGTACACCGTCTCAAGCTAACGTGTGTTAAAGACAGGGAAGTTGCAGAAATGTCATGAAAAACTAAATCCGTTAACTGAGTCCCATGAGACACCCTAAGCTTGTATAACTTGGAGCAAGAATGCAAGATTGTTTTGAAACCTGTGTCAGTAACACGACAAAAGCCTCCTAGAAATATGCTTTCCATGGTTTTACACTTGTCAGCCATTAAGAGGAGCCCGAGATCATTTACTCTTCTAAAATAGGTAGAGAGGAACTCCTGGGTCCGGACCAATGAGAGATGCTTCAGTTTGCCATGCTGATTAATCTGTTGAAGGCCAGAGTTTGTGAGGTCTGATGTAACTCCTGGTTCGCTCATGGGTGCATCTCGAAGATCCAAATGGGTCAGGGAGTTGAGACCTTTAGAAATTTTTCCAACCATAGCATCAGTTATATAGTCGACCGAAAGACACAATTTATGGATGTTTGGCAATATGGAAGGTTGAATACAATTTAGTGACTGATGGAATCCAAAGTTTGGGCTAAACAGTTCAGCCACCATTACTGATGGAATGTAGCCAATCTCAAGAGAAGTGAGTTTCTCCGAAGCCAAAGCCCAAACTCGAGAATTGTTATGACCAGCAGAAAATGAGACATCAAACATCAAGTTCAGTGCCTACCAAAAATTATCACACACGCATTAGATGAAACATATCAAATAATTATGATATCCCAAAACCAAAATGCTTTATGGGTAAATTTCAATTAAGGAAACATATATTAAGCATCTAATGTTAAAGTGCACACGAGTTTTCCGCCTCATCATTTCTAGGGAAACTTAAGTATAACAAACCATTCAATTATTCATCCAGATGACCAAGGAGGATGAAATCATATTAACAAACTCAACATTTGACACCCCATTAGGTACAAACTTAGCATCTTTTGTATCTTCAAAAAAAGGTAACGATGTTCTTAACTTATTTGAGCAGAAGAATCAGAACTTCAGCTACGTGAAATATGAAAGGGTGAAACATTTGTTCATGTATCATTATTTAACAACCAGCACCACGTTACTTAAAATCCTTATTATTAAACATTTGGTTATTATCATCATTTAACTGAGCCTTACTTCTAACTCATGGCAACCTCTGAGCAACTCCTCCAAATCAGAAGACTGAATATCCAGCCCTCTATTTTCAGCCACTGACCCCAAGCAGAGAGACCTGAAGGGAATTCATATACCCAAAAGCCAATAACAACAGCTTTTTCACTTTCCACAATCAAAAAACACCAGCAATACATATAAGCAGCAGAACCAAACCAAACCAACCTTAGATCCTTGCATCGGCCTCCGATCTCCGAAAGCAACTTTCCAGTAAATTCGTCGCAATTGAGCATACAAAGCTCGTGTAGCGAAGGCTGAAGCAAAATCTGTATGGCCGAATCGTCTAGCCGGCCACAGTTGACCTTCATGCTCTTTAGCCACGGGTTAGGAGGCAGCAGAGGCCTCAACAAATCCATGGAAGGCGCGATTTCCTAACCCCCAAAGCAAAAAGTAACCATTTTTGAGAAAATAGCAAACAAAAACAAACCAATTTACAATCTTTTGTGAAAACCCAGAAATGAAAATTGAAAGACTTACGAGGAGGTGGAAGGAGGGGATGAAGGAGAGGATTTGAGAAGCGCAGGCTTTGAAGGCGGTGCAGGTGGAAGCGACGGAGCAGATGGAGGCCACGTCGAGATTTGTCATGATGGTGGCGAGAAGGGCCGAGGGCAGATGATCCAGGCTCTCCATTGAGCTACTGCTGCTTTCGCTCTTCCCCTCCGCCATTTTTTTGCTCAGTCTTCTTCTTCTTCGTGAATTTTGTGGAATCTGGGTTTGGTGTTACCGTCGACGACACTGCAACTGTAAGCTTGTATCTGAAGCCAATCCAACGGTGATCAAAGCACGAGGAAATGTGTGTTTTGGGTTTTGGTTTTTTGTAGCCCACAAGCCACCATCTCCAAAGCCCAAACCCTTTAACAAGGGGACTACACTCGTTTTAGTGTCGTAACATTAACACCATTGCTATCGATAGTTTTAGGGAGCTGATTTCTCACTCATCCTTAGTCCATTTACACTATTGTATGTTATAGTAAAAGTATTAAAAAAACAAAATGGATGATCCCATTCATTTTCATCCCCTAGTTGGAGTAATTATTGAATGCAGGCATATGATGGCGCAAATTGGTCAGTATAGGATTCATCATATCTATTATGAGAAAAACTGTGTTGTAGATTGCTTGGCTAATGGGAGCTTCATGGAGATCTGGGCTTTTGTGCTTATAATGTTGCTTGTATTTGGATAGCTTCCTTGTTAGCCGATGGTGTGTTAAGGGTGTCTAGAACTCATTTGATTTGTTCTCGTTCTGTTTAGCTTGTTTTTTGGGGTGTTAACCCCCCCTTCTTCACTTAAAAAAACAAAGGGGAGTGGAAAAATCAGCGTCCTAGTTTTATTGAATAATTAAGTCAGCAACTAGCTACTAATATGTTGATATTTTGATTTTTGGAAGGGGATGCTAGAGGAACCATACTAGGTAATTATATAATGCTATTATTGATTTGTATTTGTTATATGTTCTACTAAGAGGTTATTTTTGTTATGTTAATGTGTATTTGCTTATGCCAATTGAGTTTTTAATTTGCAAGATGTGTGATTAGTAATATGATCATTATATGCGATTTACACAAACCATTCCTTAATGATTTGTTGATTCATCAATTCCTATATATATTATTTTGAGAACAAATTACCCAAATTGGCAAATAGCAAAGATAAAAGAAAAACGAAAGTTTCCAAGTGAATTTTGCATCCCACAAATCTCAGCTCCCATCTCAAACTACCCCCAAAAATCTCAGCTTTCAGCTTCCCACAACTTGGAACTTCAGCTCGCCTAAATTTAACATTCACCGACTGTAAAACCCCAATCATCTTCTAGCAATATGTAAAAGAGCTTGCTTACACAAGTTTAGAGAAAGCATGAAATCATATCAAGGGAATGCTTGCTCTATGCAATGTATATATCTATATATCTATCAATCGATCATCAACTTGAGTCACTGACAGTAAAACTTCTATCAACAGCATAATCCACAAAGCTGTAAAGTGGCACCACAGCATCACCATACTTCTCAAACCCATCCAATTCCTGCTTAGCTTTGGCTCTAAGCTGCTCTGCCACCTCCATAGCCTTCTCAACCCCATAAACTCTCACATAGCTGAAGCCCTTCTTCTTCTTCCGCTCATCCTCATCCTCACCATTCATTTTGTCCTCCAAAATATCATCAACCACCCGATACAAAACCCCAACAGCTCTGCCATACCTCCTCAGTCTATCCACCTCATCATCTTCAGCACCACCTAGCAATCCTCCACAAACAGCAGAACACTGACTCATCTCTCCAAACTTCTTCTCTTGCGCGAATTCGATAGCATCCGGCCCGCCTTCCAGGTCGAGGAACTGCCCTGCCGCCATGCCCGTGGACCCCACGGTGCGGGCAATCTCTGTGATCACGCGCAGGAGGCGTGGCTCGGGCACGAGGCTGGAAGGCGTGTTTGCCACAATGTGCTGAAACCCCAATGGAAACAGAGCATCACCAGCTAGAATTGCCAGATCGTCGCCATAGACTGTATGGTTCGAGGGCTGGCCCCGCCGTGATGGGTCGTCATCCATGCATGGAAGATCATCGTGAATGAGTGAAGCTGCGTGTACCTGTCAATTGTCATTCAAAGCAAATAAAGCACTTTCCTTTGTCAATATTCCAAGCACAAAATAAATACCCGTGTTGAAAGCTAAGCAAAAATGTGCTCAATAAGCACGACCCAAATTACCAAATAGGGCACAAAGCAAGAATACAGATTTTTCTAAAAACCCAAGCTGGGTTCCGAGCTGAGAATCCAATTTATGCAATAATATTCATATAACCCAAACAGGGTTCTTTACAATTCAGTCTAATTAGTCCATGTATAGCAAAAGGAGGAAGAATTACTAACCATTTCAAGGGCACAGGCTGTGGGGAAGGCAGCTAGGCGGTTGCCGCCGAAGAGCTCACAAGCAGCGACGCACATGACCGGTGAGGCTCGTTTGGCTCCTTCGGCGAGCACAGAGTATCGCATGGATTCATAGATCTGATCTGGGTACCGAACCGGGACGGCTTCGTGAAGCTTCTGATTGATATCGGCTATCAGGGTCGTCCAGTAGGTTTTCAAATCGAACTGGGTCCAGCTCGGTGGGGTCGAAACGGACGGCGCTGATGAAGAAGAAGAGCATCGGATTGGGAAAGTAAGCTTTTTTGGGAGGTAGAGATGGACTGGAGTTGAAACCATTGAGAAAGAAGCCATTTTTAGTCTCGGAAGCTCTCAGCTGAGCTCTTGGTATCAGAAGGAATTTTTTTTTTGGGTCAATGTAGTGGAAGAAGATTAGATTTTGGATATAATTGAGTGCTATAGGAACTAAAGTATATATGGTGGTCCAACCAACCTGCCTCATTACAATTGGTTCTTTATAATTCATTGTGTCCAAATTACCATCGGTAAAACAATTATTTACAGTAACGACCCATCTTAAAGAGCCTTCAACACTCCGCCATTTCCTCTGACTCCCTCCCTCTTTTTTTATTTTTTGGTCGAAACTCCCTCCCTCTGATCTCTGTTTCTCTCAAACCAATGGCGTCCGTACGATTCCGTACGCTCCTCCTGGTCTCGTCGGTGTTGAGGGTGATTCTGATCCTCTACGGAGAGTGGCAGGATACCCACATGGAGGTGAGGTACACAGACATTGATTACATGGTCTTCTCCGACGCTGCTTCTCTAATGGCCGCCGGTAAATCCCCATTTGAAAGATCCACTTACAGGTACTCTCCTCTGCTCGCGTTTTTGCTCATACCCAATTCGTTTCTTCACCGCTCTTGGGGCAAGTTCCTCTTCTCAGCTGCAGGTACGTTAATATTTGCTTCATTTTGGCGTTAAATTTTGTGTTTTGGGGTGCATAAATTGCAGAAACATGATTTTGTTTTATGTAAATTTTGTAGATTTGCTTGTGGGTTTGTTTATAAGGACCATATTGAAGCTTCGTGGGGTGCCTGAGAATTTAAGCATGCTTTCTGTGATCGTTTGGCTTTTTAATCCGTTCACCTTTACCATTGGGACTCGTGGGAACTGTGAGCCAATTGTTTGTGCTTTGGTTCTTTGGGTCTTCATATGTCTCATGAACGGTGTAAGTTTCTTTCTTTGTATAGATTTTTATTTTTATTTTGGCAATAAACACTTCCCAAAAATCTATACACTGGCTGGACACTCACAAGACTCATGTCATGTACACCACTTCACCTACTTGCTGTTGATTTCAGCCATTAAGTGAATCTTATCTTCGGATTATCTTAATATGGATCAAATTTAATGCTTTTTGCGAAAATGGAATTATGGGATACTTGTATAAATCTTAGCACAGATTATCAGAAGTGAAGGACTATAGGATTGTTTGAGGTTCTTTTATATTTATTTATATTCAGTGAGAGTTATTGGTTGCGTTATGTATCGAACTAGCATTCTCTTGGATTTTCTGTAATGATTGTCTGACCTTCTCTCAGTTCGTTTTCTCTTGAGGCAACCACGTTAGACATCTACAACCATAGCAGTGTCTATTTTGGAGAATAACATTTATGATCTCAATATTCCTCATCTTCATCCTATTAAAAATTATTGCTTTGCATTTAGCGAGTACGATCTTCTAGGAAAAACCAAGTAGGCATAGCATTCCACTAAGTATGGTACTCAAACTATTTATTTAGGAAATGATTGTTATGCTTTCCCCCATAACTGTCTAACTCCATATGGAAATTTTTCTCTCATAACAGGACGCGTGTTACAAGCTGCATTTTGGTACGGGCTTGTTGTCCACTTCAGAATCTACCCCATTATCTATGCACTTCCTATCCTTGTGATTCTTGATCCGCATGTGTTTCGATCTGGTCAGAAGCCTAGCCTACAATTTTGGGATCCTCGGCAAGAATCACCTCAAAACAGATCTGTTACAAGACTTGCTCAGCTTCTTTGTCCGTGGTTTCTTTTGAAAAGTGCGTTAACACGAGAAAGGATAGTTTTCTCCTTTATATCTGCAGCCGTATTCTTCCTTTTCACTGGTTTATTCTATCATCTATATGGGTGGGAGTTCTTGTATGAGGCACTGCTGTATCATCTTACCCGTACTGATCCAAGGCATAATTTCTCCATTTATTTTTATCACATCTATCTTCAGTACAACCGTAAACTCTCGATATTGGAGAAGCTTGTCTCATTTTTGCCTCAGTTGATGGTCCAGGTTGTGCTTGTTTTGAGTTTTGCGCAAGACCTTCCATTCTGCTGCTTAGTGCAGACAATAGCATTTGTGGCATTCAACAAGGTTTTTCTCTTTATTACTATTTTTTCTTCTATAATTGCTGGCTTAGTGAATTAGTTACATATCTGATTCAACATTATAATTTGGCTCTGCTCCATGTAGCATCCGATGTCGGATTCCTAGTGGTTATTCTCATTGAAAAACTCTGCTTCAATGCCGTACTTTTGAATGTAAGGTTTCTAACAAAATTCTGCTCCTAATTACTTCTGCCCATTGTTAACAGGTAATGACGGCTCAATACTTTGTGTGGTTCTTTTGTCTCTTGCCTCTGGTACTCGCTTGGAGCAAGATGAAGCTCAAATGGAAAGGCCTGTCATGCATGACATTGTGGGTGGCTGGTCAACTTCATTGGTTGATGTGGGGTTATTTGCTCGAGTTCAAGGGACGGAATGTTTTTCTTCAACTCTGGATGGCAAGCATCTTGTTCTTAGCTGCAAACACGTATGTTTTAGTTTCGCTCATCCGCGACCACAGATTTTCTCCAGTTTTCACATGTTTGGAGAAAACTTCAAAGGGCGGGAAAAAACTTCAGTGACAGAATAATTAGATTGATTTGGAGGTTTACATATAAGTTGACAATTTAATATTCTGTTTTCTTTCTTTCCTTTATTCCCACTGTTTTTTGCAATTAGATATGCACAAATTGGCTATTTGTTTAGTGGCTTTGCAGCTCCTTTTTTTTTCTGTTCATTTTGGTGATTCCAGAACAAGTTTTAGGCCTTTCTGTAAGATAATGATCATAATTGGCTATTTCTTTTCAGAATATATACAGATTATTACGCAACGGAAATAGAGAATCAAATTTCCTTTGTACTTGTGTGATCAACCAAACTGGTTGCTCGTGTAAAGGAATTTTTCATTTCATTTATTTACACTGCTAAATTCAATCACACCAAACAAAATTGGAAATTTGCTTCATATCTTTCGCCCATGAAATTTAGACTACGTTTTGGACAGGGGCCGCGCGAACGCAGGCCCCCACTGGCACAAATTATGACGTTGGCTCTCCCACTAGGGGAGACCATAGGGTAGCACCCCGCCTAAGTGCAATGGAGGTCACTAACCTAGGCCATGGGCCTTCTGAGCACCCAAAAACCCCGTCCAGGTAAGTATGTTTCAATGGGTTTGGTCGACTTGTTTTATAGAGGCCTCGCATTCCAATTCTCTTATGTTTTTTCGATATGGGACAAAAATAAAACAGACTAAAATCCACCTCGACAAGAACAGCCTCTTTCAGTCTTTGAACAATTATGAAATATGGGTTGTATTGCAGTTTGACACAGCTATCCTTGTTCTTTATCTAGCAGGCCAGAAAGGTATTCAATTGGGTTAATTTCTATGCCGTGCCATATATTGAAAATTTGTTACTGTTATTTGGCCACCACCAAAGTTATCAACTTCATAGCAGCAGCTTGAGCAAATCTACAACTTCAGCAATGCCCTCTGGCCTCTGAACATTGCATGCTTTACAGAAAACCTTGAAATTTTATCATTGGAACAAAGATCAAATTTGGATATGAATTTAGTTTTCTTATTTTATATTTGTACAAACGATAGTATAAATTATTCTAAATTAATCTAATATATAGGGAGAAAGACTTGAATTTGAGTGCAAAAGTATGTGCTCACTGTCCTAGTTGACTGGCCTAACTCACGTCTACGCACTGAATGTGCTGTTTTCTTGAACATATGATGTTTTACTGAAGCTTTAAAACCAATCCTAGGGATTGTGAGGGATTGTTCGAAAGCTAAGGCTAATTTTAAGCCTTGGCTTATGAGGAATCTTTGTTCTCCAATCAAATGGTATGGTTGTTTCCCTTGGATTGATGTGTTCGTGTTTACTTGCTGGTACTTACAGAAACGGAGAAATCAACATATTTTTAGTGGTGATGATAGCCTATCTTTGCACCCATGTCAAGTTGTTGCTGCAGTTCTTGAGTGGACCAAAGCTATTGGTGGGACTAAAAACCAGGAAATTAAGGTGCATCAGGTTATGTCCTGGAAACCTCTTCTTTCTGATTGGTTTAAATTAAATGTTGATGGCTCTAGAAGGGGTATGTCTGGTGCTATTGGGACTTGGGGTTTTGATTCGAGACTCTGTTCGGATTTGGCATGGTGGTTTTGTGGTTAATCTTGGGGTAGGGTCACCCAGATTTTGAAAGCAGAGCTTGGGGGATTATTCTTAAATTTCCATACTTTTTGTTGATCGTATAGCATATAATATTCACTGCTAGACATAATTATAAATAATACAATCTTATTATGTATAATCATAAATTTAATGTCAATTTTAGTCCTATAAATTTGTATAATTATAAGTCAACAAAATTTAATATATTTTAAATACGGGCGTTTCTAACTAAAGACATGAACAAAAAATACAATTAAATTATAATTTTGTCGATAATAAAAATAAATAATTTTAAACTAAGAATTGTAGGGCTTTACCCCGAAGGGAGCCCTTCCAGAAATTCTCAGAGGCCACGGCTGAACCGCGGCCAGTGAGGGGGTTTGGAAATAGTTTTCAACCAGCAATAGACGCGCCTCGGTTAGAACCTCATAAGCTGCGTCATTGCCCCAAGCGCAAAGATGCTTTTCTTAATGCATGTGGCTTGCTTTTATAATACTAGAGCAACTCAGCCTTTCTCACTACGTCGATGTGGGACAACAACAAGCCATGATCCAATTGCAAGACATATGACAAGTGGAACCAGAGTTGAAAGACAAAATTAGCATTTCGAATCTTTAAAATCTGGCAACCTAATTTGGGCCATGATGTAAAGAACCCATTAGTGTAGTGGTTTGAAGTATTTATTCCTTTAGGCAAGGTCTTGGGTTCGAGTCCTAGCATCCATGTAGTGTGTGTGAGTTTAGTATACTATCGTCCATCTCAATAGAAAATGTCCTTAAAAAAAAAAAGGCAATGATTTAAAGGATGCAACATATTCCATTTCAAATCTTTTATAGTGAGAAGCCATCTTAAAGAAGACGTAGAATTCACGGATGGCAAGTTATGTAGAATGATATATAAGGTTGTAAACAAATCGGATTCATATTATATTCAGATTATTGAAAAGAACTTATATCATTTCATATACAAAAATATTAAATTCGGATCAAATTGAATTATTATCGGAATCATTTTAAGACTTAGAAAAAAAAATTCTAAATCAATATGGGTGAGCAATATGAATCTTAAATTTACTTGCGTAATATTGTGGGTTGGTTTGTCGGTCAACTTCACTGATTGATGTGGGAGTTATTTTGTTCTTAGCTGCAAACACGTTTTCACTTGATATGCCAAGCATTTAGCACTCCTCGTATACAATATTTGGTTTAAACAGACAATAAAATACGAAAACTTCATTAAATTTATTTGACAATATTAATCATGAACTCAAACATTGGGGATTGAATATGTAAATACAATATAAATTGCGTAATGGTGAATTTAATAATTGGTAAAAATTCATGTTTCATAAAATTTCCACTTTCATTTATTTAGTTTAAATTTTGACAATTTAATCACATGATATGGGGCTGTATTTTTTTTTAAAAGTAAATTTAGGTTTTAGCCACAAAAAAACTTTCACTTTTAGAAAAAACCAAAACTTTTACTAAAAAGATAGAAAAACCCCACAACTTTCAAACCAAAGACATGCAAATGTAAATGATTCCTTAAGAAATCCAAAAATAAATAAGGGCATTTTTGTCCATTTTGACTTCTTTAAAAAATATTTATCTCTCCTTTGGCCTTTTGCAAAATATCCCTATTTTTTTTAATGTGGAAAATAAAATTACAAAGCAAAAATATTTTGGGCATGCATGCCCAAAAAAGTCAAAAAAGAAAGCATTTAAAAAAGACAACGGCAACCCAAATTTCCAACCTAGACGGAGAAAACTTGTGACCTAGGCCCGCAAGTGAGTCCGAAGTTAACTTCCCTAAGGATTTGATGAAATTGCACACTCACAAAGTGAATTGAGGTGCCAAATGTCTTGGATTAGAAGAGACACCAGGGATTAACTTGGAATCTCTTTCAATGATGATTTTCTTCCAACCTCTATCCAAAAGCATGGGCAAGACCATCACGAAGAGCAAACCACTATGTATTTTGGGCAGAATTAGATAGAAATAAGGATGTGTCCTTGAATTAAATTACGATAGAATAAAACTGAAAATATTAAATTGACTAGAACAAAATAGAAAAGCCAGAAAACTAGAGTCACCTGACCTTTTTTCCGTAATAATTCCAAAATCTTGGGACTATATTTATAGGGCCTTACTCCGAAGAGAGAGCCCTTCCAAAAATTCTCAAGGGCACATGGCTGAACCAAGGCCCAAGAGGGGGTTTGGAAATAGTTTTCAACCAGCAATAGACGCGCCTCGGTTAGAACCTCATAAGCTGCGTCATTGCCCCAAGCGCAAAGATACTCCAATCATTGGCTTCCGCTCGGTTTTATACCTCTACAGCAACTTAACCTTTTCCGCTCCGTCGATGTGGGACTGCAACTTCTTCTTTTACAATTGTATCCAATTGCGGGACATATGACAAGTGGACCCAGATAATTGAAAGACAATAGAAAATACAAAAAAGACATTGGGGGGCTGTGAACTTGGATGCTTTGAAGGCCACATGTATGCACATCGTAAAAAACCAAAGTTACACCACTCCAATTTTATCCACTTACACTCCTTTTTAAATTATAAAATAAAATATAAGTGAATAAAATTGGAGTGGGGAAAACACCACTCTTTTATTGCCCGAAAAACATGCTTATATCCAAAGATATAGCAGCCACAACACATTGCACACATTTTATTGCAATTTTAAGAGCTGAGCAATACAATAAAACACTAATTTGAGAATACCAATCCACATCCTTAATTAACTTTGTTCGATAAATTTAAGGAAAAGCTTGGATAACAGATTGGATAGCATGAATGGGAGTGATAGTGTGTCGGCTAAAGCCAGCCTCACCAAGAACATATCCCCATTCTTTCATGGTCCTTTCTTTGCCTGTGTTTGTATGGGCCATCATCACCATATCTAGCATCAATCTCACATCTGTTAGCTTGTTGTCTTGTTTTTCATTGTCTTCTTCAATTACAGCTTCTACTATTATCACCTTCCCTTTTTCCTCCGGAATAGCTTCCCTGCACTTCTTAAGGATACGGATGCACTCATCGTCTCCCCAGTCATGAAGAACCCACTGCAATTCACAAAAACGAAATCAAATCGGACCATTTATCATAATGTGTCTTGTTGAGCAAGAAAACTTCTAGCAATACAATAAGGGGAGTAATTTTAGAGGAACCGCACTTTTTTTAGTTACATTAGCAAACCACATGATGTGACAGTTGATGTGTCAATTAACTTATGATTTGAATAACAATCAATGTAATAAGTACACGTTAAAAGACACATCATGTGACAGTTTATTGTTCTATCATTTTTGTAGCTTTGTTTTTGCTGGACTCTGTCTGGTTTTTCTTTTGCAATGAATGAGATTTCGACCCAAATAAAAAAAGGTCACAAGATATGTTCCCTAGATCTAACAATATTCATATTTGGATTGTGAGGTTTCCTTGAGTATTAAGTAAGAGTATCACATATATACTAATTACCATGATAATTGCAGCATCAGCCTTTGGAACACAATCAAACATGTCACCCCCAACATTCTCAATGCGATCACACTCTTGAGCAACAGACACAACATGAGGAAGATCAAAATTGACGCCTCGAATCCAAGGGCACGCCTCGACTAACAAGCGCAAAGTAGTCCCGTCACCCCCACCCACATCTACAATTGTCTCGAGCCCTTTGAACACCTCTAAACAGCTTTCAAGCACAGCAGGCACAGCCACCCTTGCATCACAAGCCATTGCTTCATTGATGAGCTTGCTGTGATTAGGATTGGCAGCGGCATAGCTCCACACATCCTCTCCATGTACTGCCTCGAATGCCGGGTTGCTAACACCTTGGATTCGGGCACTGAGGCCATGCCATGGTGCCAGCATTACCGGGCTACTCTCTAGCAAAATGAAAGCAGCCATGCTGTTTTGTCCGGATTTCAATAGCCGTTTGGACAAAGGTGTTTGTGCATAAACTTTGGGGCCTAATTGGGTTGCTGGTTTTTTCTTTGAATATTTTGAGGTGGACTAGGACCCTCATGATGCGGTAAAGGGGAGAAGGATCACATCTTAGAGCAGATGATAGCTCTAGGAGTGTCATGGGGCTGCCATGGCTTTCAATTGCATCAGCTATTCCAAGCTCAATGGCACATTTTACCACCGCCATTTCGACAAACCCGAACACATATTTCCAGATTTCCAGTTTGGCATGTTCTTCTTCTTTCTCTTCTTCTCCTAACTCTCTTTGTTTATCTTCCATCTCTTTCTGTGTTTGTCGTAGGCTCTAAGGTATCAATATATATAATTTGCAGGAAGAGATTGGAGTATAGTTACATGAACATGTGTTGAACAGTTTAGGTAATGTATTTTCATGTAATGATAGACATCTTTTGCCTAATTGGCTGGAAGGATTTTGTCTTGTATACAAAATTCTTTCTTTGCCACAATATTTTATGAAAAAGTTTAGCGAAAATTAGAAACAAACCCAAAAGAGCTCCTCTAAAAAACACCCAAAATATTTCCAAAATGGCAGAAAAACCCTTATCTTAAGCTCCAAAGACATGCATATCCTTTGCCTTTCTCTCCTCCGTCAAAACCAAAGCAACATGTGAAAACCATGTCCTTTTTCCAGCAACGATAACAATGTCAGCAGCAGCACAGTAACAGTGCCAGCAGCAACAACAACAGTATATCAGACCATAATTTTAAGAGCTTTTGTTTGTTTGTAGATATGAATCTGAAATAGTCATGTGAATCTGTTGGCTTGTATAGTGTGTGCATGTGAAGTTCATATGAAACTTCAGAGAGTAAGAGAGATAGAGAGTATCAGATAGAGAAGAACTCTTCTCATCCTTAGCTTCTTATATTCTTATCATCCTTAGCCATGGTAGAAGTCGGTGTAAATTATGTATATAGTTTGTAACTCAGAAGTGGACAATATTTTATGAAATAGTTTACTACGTAGTGGACAAACAGGGTACGCATGCGTTGTTTAGCTGTAGATAGTGGTATTATCATAAGAATCTTGTGTTTTTGCTGGGAGCATATAATTTTTTTTTAGTTTCTTATTTTTGTCTTTCCAATCATGTTTTGATACTCTTCTAATACTATATGTATTAGAATATGAGCATCTAACCCGAAATCAATTGACGATGGATGGAGAGACCCAAAATCTTTTATACCATTTGACAAGGCTTTAATTCTCCGATGTGAGATTCACACTCCCAATCAACACATACAACCTTTATCTACGCACAAATCGGAGGAACAACTATTGAGCTATATGAATTGAATTGAATCAATACAGATGATACAATTTTCTGCAGAAAACTCTTATTTTGCTTCTTTCTTGCTCCTACTCTAACCAAAGTTTCCATCCATTGATTCTCTCTCGTAAGGACATTGAAAGACAAACTAATGCAATTGGAGGGCAGTGAATTGGGTTGCTTAATGTGAAGGTTACATGTATATTTATATATATTAAAAATCAAAGCATTATAATCAACGCATTTGCTCAAACATATTATAGAACATGTGTTCAACATTTAGAAATACATCAATTTCATTGAACACTCAATTTTTAATATGCATTTCCTATAATCGATAGTATACATTTTAATTTCTTTGATAAAGATTTTTTTAATCGAGCCGTACTAGAAATTATGGAAAAGATGCCTGCAGGAACATCTAGCTAATTCATTCAATATTGTATTATAGAATAAATTAATCTTTAGCTAGGTACATTATTGTCTAGCTGTAACATCAAATACCTACGTAGGATACATGTGTGACTTTGTTGAGGCAGATGTTTTTGGGGGTATATGTAGTAAAATAAGAAAGGAAGATTTTGTCAATTATTATTTACAAAGATCATGACTTTGTGGACTCAGTCAAGTAAGGATCTTTAAAATTAAGATACGGAAAAAACATGTCGTGTTTACGAAATTCTTCCATTTCAGACAACTTTTACTTTTTCCAGATCGTCGACTACGCTTTATTCAAATCATAGCCAAGCAAAGAATTCATTAAACATGTTTTGTTTTGAGAGTAACTCTTTTTCTTTTCTGTTTTGTTTTTTTTGTTTCTTCAATGGTGTTTTAATACCCTTGCCGATCGGGTTCTGCTTTTACAGGATGTTTGCCATGCATTGCTAGACCTTCCATTAATATTTCAGTCTTACTTGTGTGGAGGGCTACAAGTACTAGAACAGCATGATCTAAGCAACTCTATTATTAGCAGTATGTGAATGGTCCTCATTATGCCATAGCATTGATGCTATATCAGATGCTTTAGTTAGTTAGAAGGTTAACAGTTTGTTAAATTGTTAGCAGAGAGCTAAGCCTCTACTGGGCTGTATAATATACTGTGCTCTTGTAATGAGTTCAATCGAGTCAATACAGATGATACAGTATTCTGCAGAAAACTCTTATCTGATTTTGCTTAGCTTCCATCCATTGGCTCTGTCTCCTAAGTCGTAAGGACATTGAAAGACAAACTAATGGAAAGAAAGACATTGGTGTGCTGTGAATCGCATATATGCATAAGCATGTGTTGCTCAAAAACATGCCTGCTAGTATTGGGATAGAAAGATATATAGCAGCCACAATGCATTTGCTCAGATTTTATTGCCAACCATCTAAAGATTACAAACTGCAAGAGCAGTAGGCTTATTAACTCAACAATTTTGACAATGATGCAACAGGTAAAGACCAAAAGGTAACTTAAACAATACAATGGAACAGTACTAATTCGTAAAAGCAAATCCACACCCATAACTTTTTGTTCTCTAAATTTAAGGAAAAGCCTGAATAACGGATGGGACAGCATCAATAGGTGTGATAGTGTGTCGGCTAAAGCCAGCTTCCCCAAGAACATATCCCCATTCCTTCAAGGTCCTTTCTTTTCCTGTGTTTGTATGGGCCATCATCACCATGTCTAGCATCAATCTCACATTTGTTAGTTTGATGTCCCCTTTCTCATCTTTTTCATCGATAACCGCTTCTATGATTATCACCTTCCCTTTATCTTCCGGAATAGCTTCCCTGCACTTCTTAAGGATACGGATGCACTCATCATCGCCCCAGTCGTGAAGAACCCCCTGCAATTAACGAAAACAGAATTAGAGTATCCATTGTTATAACGCCTTGTTGAGCAAGAAAACTTATAGAAAGATAATCAGGGAGTGATGGCAGAGGAACCACATTTTTTCTTATCCCATTAGCACAGACAAATGATGTAATAAGTAGACATTAACAGACAAATCAAATGATGAACCTAATAGCTCACAGGATGAATGAAAAATATAAAGAGATATTTAGTCATATATCCATTCTTAGCACTAATGATATAGATAGAGATTTTCTATTTAAACCTTACACCATTTAATTTCGATAAACAAACCAAAAAAAAACCCAA